GTGTGTGTGTGTGTGTGTGTGTGTGTGTGTGTGTGTGTGTGTGTGTGACAAATATATCTGTTACTGTGCATGGATTAAAACACAAATTATGAAAACTTGTTTCATCGAACAAAAACTGTAACACACATTAATATCTCTACTTCTTTTGGCTCTTATGAAAATAAATATATATTGTTTCAAGATAGAAAACTCTGCCTCCATACTGCAACCAACACAATTAATAAAGCTCCAGGGATCCGGTCCATTTCCTATGAAGAGACGCGAACAGGAAAACTTGTAGGATGAAAAAAAAAAAGAGAATTTCAACCCTCAGATTTGTGCACCTCTTTGACACGATATCTTTTGAAGCAAAAAAACACCGTTTACACCAATTCAGCGCTGAATTCACAAATTCATTCAATGACAACAGGAATAAAAAAGAAGCTTCGACAACAGGCTGTGGTTGAGAGTAAGCCTTGAAATGTAAGCAATGCTTCCTCGTCAGCTTTGTTGACTCTTCATCATAATTCTGTGAAACGATATTTCCGGAGCAAAGAAAAAAATATACAATTTGCCACATAATTATTATATACTAAGTATGTAAACAGCTCTTAAGACCTGCTGCGACAGCCAAGATCACTTGATGCGACTGGAATGTCTTGCCGCTCCCAAAATAGAGCAACTAATGAGGCAGGATGCACAAAACATGGACTGTGTTGTGAGCGTTAAGAGAAACAACAGGGGAATTTCAAGGAAGGAGAGGCATATGTGTGGCTCTAGAGCTGAGGAATGTAACAGTCTCTGACAACAAATGAGAGTTGAAAATGCTTAATATCAAGACAGTTACATCTATACTCGTGAAGAGCAGTGTCTAACTGTGTCTGTCTGCTGTTTGGTAGTGTGCAGGGTTTTTATGAAGGCGTTTTGCTTAAAACATCTGCTTGCTGCTTCCGTGGAATTCAGCATCGCACTGGTTCCCTCGAGAAAAAGCAAATTACATTTTTCTATTGAATTCTGGATTATTGCAGAAAATAAACTCTGTGGCAAGCAAACGTTTTTTTTTCCACGTTTTGTTCAGCAAGATAACAACAAATGATTTTTGAAGCTTAAATGCAACCTTAGTGCAGAGAACTTCACATATAACACAAACTCTGCTGTGTTGAGCTTTAAATGAGCAATGGCCTGAAATAAGCACGAGTGTGTGGGAAGTTTGTGCTTAGAGACACAAATTCAAGGTCATTTATTTTTTGTTGCTGCCAGAGATATCTTCACATAATATTTAGTATGACAATAAAACTAATTATCAAATTCTGTAGTCTTCATTTGAACAAAGATAGAAAGTATTCTTCAACCAGCTACTGTGGACCGCATACTAGATACAAATCCCATACTGACGATGGAAGTCAGTTTCACCCATCCTTCCCCACATTTTATCCTATCGATTTTGTTTACGTCTCAACAATATTACAGTGTTTTGTAACACGAGCTGTATTTGTAAAAGCGAGTCTCCACACTGGGCTTGTGAAACAGTGCAGTTGTGTTACAAATACATCAAAGTCAGCAGCAGAAACACCAGTGATATCGACAACAACCACTGCACCCGATGATGGAGGACTGCCAGCACCAACACAGATTTCTTTTTTTGGGAACCACTGTTAAAAAGGGAAAGCTGTAATGATAAAGGTTTGGATACCTGGCTATTTCACATTAGCATCAGCACTCAGCAGTATCAGCACTCTGTGAAAGGTCAACTCCAACACAGCACTGTATAAGCACATGTGGTTCAAGCAGCTAATTCCCTCCGAGCCCATGCAAACCAATACAGGGCTTACACTATGAAAAAGAAAGAAGCAGCTTGATGACCATTCGAATGCAATGCGTACTTTGCTTCAAGACACTTTTGCATTCAGACCTGCACGTCCAAAAAACTAAACTGGCCGTGTTTATTGTGTATTGACTTAGTATCGCCTTCAGCAACACAATCTATTTCCTCCATGACCAATTTCATTATTTTCAGACCGTATATTTACAGAGAGAAACATCAAGTGAAAAGGTGGCGTAAAACAAACGCTAATTGCATTCTTACAATGTCAGGAAAACAGATATTTGCAGAGGAAGATTTTCTCTTGTTTTTATGAGACTGCAGATGGTTCTCCCAAGAAAGAGTCCAATTTATGGAGATTTTATTAATCTTCAGAAAGCTGTTGAGAGACGTGCTGCTACTGATTAACAAGCTTTCGGTTTATACGTGCCTGAGGTGAGGCCTTTGATCAATGGTTAAACACAAGCTGAGGTCAGATGGCAGTCGGACAAAGCAAACAACAGACGGCTGCTTAATAATGTGCTGTTCAATGTTTTTTTACGAATAAAAATATGTAGTAAAATTAAAATGACATTTTTGTTTCCTGTCTACACTTTTCAGTGTTTTTTTTCTCAGACTTTAGAAAGCTTCGTTATACAGCTGTTTTCACAGTAGTGCTGCTGATGAATAACGCCCATTTTAAGTAAATGGTGAGGTTGTAAGGTGGAAGTACAGCAGCTGTTTTCTGCCATCTTTAGCGCAGCACTCTCTAATGCAAGTTTTCGTATAATGTTAACCACTTCACCAGCCAATCACAAAAAGTGGGGTTTCAGTGTTTAGTGCTGACTAATTAAGCCAGAACAATTTCAGCTACTTAACTGATTCCAACATCTGTGTGGAATATTTGTTTGATAAATAGGCCAGTTCACTAATTATTTTAACTCTAAACAGCGGACGTCAGATGAACAATATCAAACCACCTTCACTTTACTGATCATTTGACAATCTTTCACTCCAATAAACCTTAAACTTCTCTTCACATTAATGGCCACACGACCAGAGTCGATGCAATTGGTTTTCGGTACAGCGTGGAAATAATAATTAAAAAAATTCGTCTTGTCTTCTTCCCAAAAAATATTCTCAGTGATAAACAGCATAATCTCTTCCCAAACTGCAATTTCGAAACAGCACAGCCCCAATCAACCTATTAAAACAAAAGCAGCATCCTGCAGGAGAAGAATTGGTGTCTTTCATAGTCAGTGTCATGTTGAAGCATATGCCATTAGCCACAGGGAACATAATTGCTTAAGATGCAAAATATGCTATTAAAAGACTAAACTTGACTAAACTAGACTCCCTGTATGCCCAGACTTTGCCACCCTATCCTCAAGAGACCCTGAGGATCAGTCTCAATAACAATTCACATCTTAACCTGCCTCACTAGTTCAACCTCCATCCACTGGCTGGACATGGGATCCTGATGTTCAGCCTGGCAAATGGATTGAAGAAGACATTTAAAAACAATTATTTGCGCTTATACCTGAATTAGTTAAAACCAGGAAATAAATCTCCATAACCCAGAAAACCGCCTTGGATCCTGTAAGTGCCCTGAGAGTCGATTCATTATCAATGACTCAGCTCCCAGTAGAGACAACATCGCAGATCAAAGTCTCGTTGGGCTTGTTTCTAGAGTTGGACGAGACACAAATCTATTCTCAAGTGTCCAGATCTATAGAAAGACACTCTTCACAATGAAGAGCCATTTGAATATCATTTGTTTCCCCGCTTTTTGATTTCGTTATGAGCTGACCATGAGTGAAAGACTTTTATACCTGATGGTGACTAGACCACCCTTAGATGTGCTAGTGCTTGGCTTTCTGATAGAAAAGCACCAAGTTAAAGGAGTGGTGCAGAAAAGATCTAAGCTATTTATTTTTTTCCTTAACTCCAGCAACATCAACACTATCGCTCTAAAAAGCCAGTTGAAGATATGATAGAAAACCTGACGAAGTGTCTTTGACAAGCACGGCTCTATTTAAAAGTAAAAGTATTTTCAGCTTGAGGCGTGAAGTGGGGAGTGCTCTGAAAAAACAGAGCAGCAGCAGGCAGAACCTTCTTTTATCTCTCTACCCATTGACAACTGCGAAGGCATGAGAAATATTTTTTGTAAAGCCCTTTTAAAAATACATATCAATTGTCAATTGTCTTAATGTTTCGATGTGTTAAAGTGACAACAAGACCACCTCGGCTGATCAAATGAAACTGACTACTGAGCAGTTCTTTTTTGCTACAGAGATACATTTGCAAATACAAAACATTAAACATTGGTGAGTCAATACCTTGTGATTCTCACACAATTCTCATAATAAAAAAGGAAGGACTTGCCTTTGCTATTTTGGCATTATTCTAAAGATTTAAATCAGTCTGACTTTATTCTCATTCTGTCGCTCTTTAATCCCATTATGTTTTCAGATGTATTTTTTGTGAGTACAAATTCACTGAATGGCACAAAGATTTAAGTCAAACATTTATGATTCTTAACAGATGTATGTTGCCCAAAACTATATCGGATATCGGTCCAATACTGTCTCAAATAGTTGGATCCGTTATTGGTGACAATATGCCGATCAGGTATCGGATACCATTATTTTAATAAAAAACAATTCAGTGCATTTATATTCATGTATTCATTTGTTACATTTTGTTTTACAAAGTTAGGAAATCAATGTTTAAGTCAGGCCTGATGTTGCCTTTGATCCCAGTCTCTTCCACACAGTGAGGCATACAGCTTAATAATTAAATACTGGTATCGGCCGATACCAAATATTGGTATCGTGACTGAAAAAGGTGGATTGGTGCATCCTAGTGCTAGTGAGGAGATATATTCGCTGGATTTGACAAAAAGTGAATTGTATCAGAATCACTGGCTGCACCTTTAATGCCTGTTAGTGCTGATTTAAAATATGTTAAAGTATATGCGAGCAGAAACGCATCATAAAGTTACGTCATCCATCCGCAGCGCTCATGTTTTGAAAATGCAGCATAAGTACATTTTATTCTACTTAACAGATAAATAGTGCACACGGAGATATTTAAGAGACTAGAGTCAACAAGCTCGTTGCATCACAATATGTTTTAAATTGACCTTGCAAAGCGCTGTAAAGATCCTTTGTGTGAATGAATCAGGTTTGTTACATGACGGTAGCGCACAGAACAGCAGAGCGGCTTTAACCGCGTGAGTCAGTGCAGCTGAAGCACAGACCCAAGTTTTTTTAGTGTGCGCTCCATTTCCTCTCCCCTCGAGCCCTGTGGGACGTCAGAAAACTCTGTATCGCAGTGCTGCGATGAAGCGGCTGAACCTCTACTCTGTTACCTGCTATACTCACACACCCCTGGGATGAGATAGAGAGAAGCACTATGTGACGTGACCCATATTCACTTACAGCAGAGGGAGCAAGAGGGTGGAGCAGCAGAGCGATAGGTGGAGTATAAGAAGCAGAGAGGGGAGACATTTACAGCTCTATATGTACTCTATCTATCTATCTATCTATCTATCTATCTATCTATCTATCCATCCATCCATCCATCTATCCATCCATCCATCTATCCATCCATCTATCACACACATCCATCTATCTATCTATCTATATACAATATATGTCTGTCGATCTATCTACAACTAATTTACAATAGCAAGTATGTTTTGTACACATTATGCTGCTGTCCGTATTACATTTTTGGTCAAATGGTAATGTCAGTCAGTCCATCACTTTGGCTGAAATATCTCAACTACTATTGGTGGCTGGTGTGCCATGAAATGGAGAGACACTCATGTCATGTCCCCCAGTGGATGAATCCTCTGACTTTTCCTCTGGTGCTAAGACAAGCTTCACATTTGTGGTTTTCAATGAAACGCCTCAACAATGTTTCAGACATTTGTGTCCCCCTCAGGATGAATTGTGATCTCTACTGTAAACCAAAACTTTGGTTTATGACCAAATACCTGCAAGTGTAATGACATTTCCACCCGCCTCAGCTGTCCATTATGTTAATTATAGCAAATGTTAGCATGCTAACACACCAAACTAACATGATAAACATTGTATGTACTAAACATCAGCATGTAAGCATTTATTCAAAATTATGCTGAAGCCATTAGTAGATTAATAGATTAGTCGATCAACAGGAAACGAATCGACGGCAGACAACAAAAGGAATCAGTTCAGGTCAGTTATGAAGCAACAATTCCAAAATGTGAGGATCTGCTGCTCCTCTTATTGTAGGTTGATTACATTTGGGTTTTGGTCTGTTGATCACACACCACAAGACATTTCAAGAGTTCCCATTGTTTTTGTTTTCCTAATAATTAATCCAGTGGTTTTGAAACATTTTCTTTCCATTTGGAAGACAAAAGCGAGCAAATTAAACAGATTTAATTCAAATTAACATTATCTTGATGTAACATTATCTAGAAGAGAGAGTGTTTCTTTTCATGTCTGTTTCTCACAAGCTACTGCGGCGCAAATGTAAAATACTAAATATTTATCAAACACAAATACATAAAAGACACAAGGCGTTCACGCTCACACTGACAGTGATCTTGAGAGCATGACAGGCCTTTGTCATATCTCAGATTCGACTCGATGATACTGGATGAGCATCACCAGCTTTGATCTTTCCTTCCCTGATAAAACTCCACACACTTTGCACTTTCCATGTCGGTTTGTTGGAATGAATCTTGTCAATGGTCATTTGGGGGTGACCGTGGCTTACTGGGTAGAGAGGGTTGTCCGCCAACCGAAAGGTCACCGGTTCGATCCTTGGCTGCACCGTGTCCTGTGTCGAAGTGTAAGACACTGTACTCCTAACTGCTCCCCGGGCGCCTGTAATTGGCAGCCCACTGCTCCCTATACTGTATATACAGGGATGGGTCAAATGCAAAGAATAATTTCCCCACTGTGGGACTAATAAAGGAATGTTTCTTCTTATGGGGCCCATCATGTTGACAGGTAGAGAACCACTAGAATAATCGCTGATTAAAAAATCAAAAGAATCATTAGCTGCAGCACTAGAACTGTGATCTTTCCCTAAACTTAACCAAGTGTTTTGGGAGCATTAATCAAACAAATAAATGTTCAAAGCAGGATGCAAACTCCTCAACCTCCACTGTCAAAGTCCTGCTCTGTGAAGTATATGAATGTCACACTTCCTGGATAGGAAAAAAACATTTCCAGTAAATCTAATCCAGGCAGCAATTACATTTCCTCCATAACGTACTTGGAAAGCCATTAAGTAGTCATATAAACATATTTAGTAGGAGAGAGGGTTGCTATCTGTCTATCCATCCATCCATCCATACATCCATCTACATATATATATATATATATATATATATATATATCCATCTATCTATCTATCTATCTCTCTGTCTATCAACAGAGTCAAGACAGAAAGGGCGGGAGTGAAAAGGGCGAAGCGAGGGAGGGCGAAGGGGAATAAATCTTCACTGCTGCAGTATTAATTCTTAATTGGAAAGAGATGCTATTCTTCAGCGTAGTGATTCTGCTTCATTTAGCTTACATGACGAGACCCAGGGCAGAGGGCTATGTAGCCGTTTCAGAGCACTCAGCAGAAAATCCAGCAGAAAGGATGAGGAGGAGGTCGAGAAAGCAACGGCTATACCCAACTAGAAATAACCCAATTCATCACAAAACACTCACACACACACACACACACCTCCCTGATTTATAGACCCCATTCCTAATTGGTAAATACAGCACGAATCTCCAGTTGTGATTGGATAGAAATCCCTCAACGTCTGCCCCGAAGATGAGTGGACCATCTGGCCTGTTCCTCCCTCCAGAGCAGCCTGATTGCAGAGGCTGGAGGTGGGCCCAGATAAGTGTAGTCTCACGTTAAGTGTCAGCTGTACTTAACAGCAATGGGTTAAAGGTTAACAATTAACAACTAAGCCCGGGATTGATTGAAATAGAAAGACGATTTAGGAGAAATTCACAGTACAACCCCACCTATCTTAACATGGTAGGCCCACTAGTAGAACTGGACATGCAGTAGAAGATATTACTGCAATGTTTATTTTCCCAGGAGGTTGCTAGGGAGGCGAGTGTTTTTACAAAACAACACAAGTTGGATGCCTGCATGGAAAAATCTATACTGGCGCACAAGAACAGCAGGAAGAACGCTAAAAAAAACCTTTTCAGTTTCACAACTGCACAAATTCAATGTTGATGCCTGTCAAATACCATGAGCCTCTGACTGCTTTAACTAATACAAGCCATGACCAGCATCATCTAGAACTTCACTGACTTTAAAGTAAAGGAAAACATCTTTTTTTTTTTAAACAAATAAAAAAACAGAGTAATAAGAGTCATTCTGCGTTATTAACAGAGACATCTGATTTGAGGCAATATGCCAAATAGACCAAAGGCTTTCAATGTTCAGATAATCTAAACATGAAGGCAATAACTCTTCATATGTCAATTGAGAGGCAAAATTATTAACGAGGTTCTGCTTAATAACTGAGACACTGAAATGTGATTGTTCAAGTATGAATCTATCCCAGTAAATGATCTGAATAGAGCGTATGAATGTCCATACTGTGGACTGCACCTTACACGGCACTGAGCTTTAGACACTCAACGTTTACATTGATGCAATCGCCAACACTGTAAAATTATATAACAGCAGAAAATGCAACAGTCAAGTGTCTATTGACACCATCGCTGAGTGGACAAGCCCAAAGTTGTCTCCCGTCGAGAAGCCCGAGAATGTTTTTTTTCAGTCAGGGTATAACCGTCACTTACGTGTATTGCTGTGGGAACGTGAGACCCGCTGCTCCAGGCCACGATGCGCTGAAAATCAAGATAATCTGGATAGATACCAAGCAGACGATGCTGCAAGACCTTTTGCCTATCGCCATTTTCCATTAACAATTCTCGTCACGGGGCTTTTTTGTTTCTGTACGTGAATGAAGCGCTTCGGGCCGTCTCCGGGGCATATGCACAGCTCAGCTTGTGTGAAAACGTCCGGCTCAGTTCCCCGACGAGTTCATATCGGTGTCTGTTTTCAAGTGGACGCGGAGGAGGCGGGCATTGGCCGCGGAGGCATCGTGGACGGTGGGAGATGCTCTAATGCAGCTGCCAAGACACTGCAGTCTCTCCTCCTGCTGCCACATATACACCACCAACACAACCCAACACCAACACACACACACACACACACACACACACACACACACAGGCCGGCGCGTCCACGACAGCCTCTCTCTCTCTCATCAGCAGCGCATGGAGAGCAAAGCGCGTTCACGCTCACCAGGCAACAGCGGAGCAGAAGAAGAATCTAGTTTAGGCTTTATTTATCTCTGCAGAGCCACGTGGGCTTTATCAGCGGCATATATTTAGTTTTTTTACACAAGACTGGCCGCTGCTCTTCGGTAGGCCTGGAGGATGCAACAGCTAAAGTACTAAAGAGTCTCTGAATGCAACAAGATGGTGAAGGTGTCGTACTGCTGTTTCACTCCGCCTCAAGGATGCATCACACACCGGCCCCCCAGGGGCCTCAGAAGTCACGTGTTCAGTACAAACTACCTGATTTTGGTAATTCAATTAATAAAGTTACTTTTCATATTAAGATTTTACCTTTAAAAATGATATGATACGTTTATAGAATGCAATGCATTGTTAAAGACATCACCAGTTACATCAAACCTGCTTTGTGTGTGACCCTTTACCAAAAAAGGCTTGTGTAATCGGGGCCCCTTGACACGTTTCAGACGTCTATGATGGGTTATTGGAAGGGCCTTTCTAGCTAGAGCCTGTTTGACTTTACAACAATACATTTAACAATCACTTCACAGAGCTAAAGCAGAGATTTCTTGTTCACATTTCTTCTCCTGCGGATCAGTCCTTTATTTTGAGTTGGTTATCTGCCAACCAAATCCAATCTAATATGTTTTCACAGCTGTGAAAAAAAATACTGACACTATAGTAACATTAAATTATAATACAGTTAGTAATTTAAATCAATTTGACAACAGAAAAGCTCTGCTTTTAGAAAATATAACATGTTTGATGTTTTTAATATTTTGTATTTGTTGCTATTTTGTCCCATATCTGCAGAGAATCTTTGAACAGGAGTTCTTCATCTCCACTGTGAACTAAATATGTTGAGGTTCAATTGAACCAGCAGCAGTCCTGCAGAATGATAGAGAAGCAAAACAACTAAATGATTCAGACGTCCATGGATGCAACTGATTGACTCTTGATTGTAACAAAATGAGAAAACAGTTTAATTACTCACAAGGCTGGATTAACAAACACAAAGCGATCAACTGCCCTTAGGCCAAAACCTGAGGTTCATTAAGCCTATTAAGCCCTAAAACTGACAACATGTTGTAAATACTTACCAGACAAGTCATATACCGAGTATATTAACTAACATATATTAACTTAATCAAACACAGGGGTAACAATTAACATTAATGAACCTTCTTCTCCATTTAAGTATCCCAGTAAACCAGAACCATGGAACTGGGACACCTAAAACTGAATGCAGTCATTGTTGATGTTACATCTCAGCTTCTCCTACAATGGCATGTCAAAATATCTGCTGTGAAAAAGGCCTATTGAAGCAGCTATGTGTCTGCTATGGGCATTGTAAATAAGAACTTGGAGGCGACAGGTATACACAATGCGGTAGAACGGGTGTCAACAAGGGGCCCAGCAGCACATTTTTCTCCTGGGGCTCCCAAACAGGTTATTCACCGAGCACTCCTTAGAGGGGAGCCAGTAAAGTACTCAATTATGAAGCCCCAGATGAGAAAAATGTGTCTATTTAAAGTGAATGCATAAGTGCATATAGTACATTGCTTTTCAGTCCAGTATGTTTCTAGGAGCGTGTGATTGGTTAGATATTGTCTAAATATAAGATGGGATGTGCACACCTTTTTGCATTATAACATAAATACATGATATGAGTGTGTTCAATTATTTTAGGAGATTGAAGAATTTATGGAGACAAATAAATAATAAAGTCAATAGTCAAGTCGGTTTCATTATAATTAAAGCCCAAAATCACCAATATGCCTCAAAGTGTAAAGTAAACATATGGCCACAGTGTGTAGAACAATATGTGACGGTCTACAATAAATGTTGTGGATATCACAAAACGATTTGGCTGTAATTTCCCTCAGAAGACAGTTGCACAGCGGGAGAGCACAGTAAGAGTAATGGCATTAAGATGAAAGATTTACAGTATGCATGTTCTATTTTTCACTGCAGCATCTGTGAATATAAACAGCTCTCCCCAGAAGCAAGAAAACCAGCGAGCTGAGACTCAACAGTGATGTCGAAGATGTAAAATGAAGCTGCTGTAAGGACAGTGAAATGGAGATTGATTTTGTTTATTGAAAGAAAATGTCAGACTTTCTTTCTATGGTAATATATATTTTATTTATTGTAAAGGATGAACACTTTTCTCCCTCAGCCTGGGCATTCTTACCTCTTCATTTCATCCCTCTTTTACAGGTCACAGCCATTACAGGCGCAAGTCAGTCCCCTAATTGCAATATGTCTTTGAGAGCTGTTTGTTTGTCTATTATAATATTGATGCTGATAAAACCACAGCAGGGTGTACTTGGAGAGACTGCAGGAGCCAGGTTAAATCTCTCCATGTGTGTAAGCCCCCTGCTTAGACGTCCTTGACCGAGACTTGAATCCTCACCTCACCTCGCCTCGCCTCGCTTCGCCTTAGATTTGCTGTTATGAATCTAAACCAAACCCCTGATTGTAGGAGCGAGAGTAAGACGAAGCTACTGTCAAAGTATCAAACCAGAGGGACTTGGCTGCAATTTTTGCAGTGGAAATGCTTATGCTGTACCAAATTCATGAAAAGTTTTCCTGAAACGGTGAGATTTGGAACTTTTCTTCAATAAACTGTGTAACAGCATCTCTGTTTTTCTGCAGCCAGGCATTCAAATGCTCTACGGCTCAACCGACAGGATGACTGCACCTATTCCTGCCCCCTCTGGGAGGAAGGATGTGGGTTCAGCTTTTAGTCGTCTCCCTGATGGCCCCATGTGCTAATACTGCTGTCATGTCCTGGGGAGAGGGAAGACTAATTACTGACTGCACAGTCTTCCTGCCAGTCCCCCTTGGAGAACCATACGCTGTTAATTGGACGACAACTCCAAAGGGAGCTGAACTGTAGATGAGACCGACCTTTGCCTCATGTTAACAGCACTACATACGAAAATACATGTTTAATTTGTTATTTCCCCTTATTGTATTTTCATTATACAACATCCTTGTTTACTACAATTCTCCATTTTAGATACATAATCTAAGGCAAATTCTCTCGAATAAAAGCAAATAACATTTCGTTTAGGTGATTTGCTGTAGAAGCTTAGCTCGGCTGGCAAAGCAGTGACAGTGACAGCAGGCTCATTTTAGACTTTGTCTTGTTGTAATAGATGTTAAAATGCAATTATTTTGGTTTATCTGTCAGAGCAATAAGAAATGTATTATACTTAATGAGATATTTGACTGTATTAATATTAGTATGACAAGACAGACAATAAATATATACATATACAGGGTATATACTGTACGTATAATACAATAAATGCTAGAGGCTCTGTGAAACTGTAGGCATAGCAGTGCTTGCACATCAACATGCTAACAATGCCATTGCTAGCATGCTGATGTTTAGCATGTATGTTTCAAAGTTCAAAATCATAGTTTAGCGTGTAAACATGCTAACATTTTCTAAATACTAAAAGTAGGCTACAGTTGAGGCTGATGGGAATGTTGTTAGTTCTGCAGGACTTTGAATATAAATCGATGTATTTAAGAAATTTGAATTTGGGCCAGATAATGATGCTAGAAGAAAAGTAAGGGGGTGTAACCAAAGTGATTATAATTTATGATAAATGTCTGTTTCAAACTTTGTTAATGCATCCGTTAGATGAGAAGATCATATATATTTATATATATATATTAAGATATTAACTGATGTTTGGACATTTATTATTGATGTAGTTATGGTAAAGTGTATTGCCTGTGTGTCCTTGAAGCAGATGTTGTTTTGGAGGTTAAAAGCCATAGGCAGTCCGAAATCTTCCTTCATAACACAGCTCTACTCCTGCTGCTCATTCAATGGTCTTTTAAATTGCTCATCAGTGTGGCATCAGAAAATATCAACATGAAAGACATTAACAAATATATGAATTAAATTCCAGTTTATTAAATAAAATGATATATGTGGAATCATAGTTTTAAAATAAATCAAGCTAAATTTAAAAAGTGGCAATTAAATGATGTTTAATCAAAGTCATCTTCATATTTTAGTAAGTTCTTAGTTTTTCCATACGAATGGAAACCATTGTATACACAACAGGTGATATATCTTTAAGACTGTGTACACACACACACACACACACACACAGAGGCAAACTCAATCACCAATGTTGACATAAAGTAAGTATGTTAAAAAACTGTAATGCAAAGCCGACTGTGCCTATATCCTGAGAATCATCAAAAACAAATAATCAATTGTACCAAAGGCTAAGTGCTCAGGTTGGCGTAATGATATGCGTGTTATTATTCTTTGGTAATCTCTGCAAAAATTTCAAGTTAAATATTCAGATCATCAGCGAAATAGGTTTTTAGAGAGGATTACTATTAAGACTCCTCTAAGCCTCTTCAGGAAAGGCAGGAACACTAGCAAGAGCTGAGATGAGCCTCTCGAACACGCTGATGCCTTTCAGGAAGACTCGCTCATTCAGGTACTCGTTGTGATCGTGCAGCAGGATCGGTGTCCGGTTCATCGGTGAGAAGCCGATAGCAGGGATGCCCACCTAGATTCAACAAACAGACCTATTATTAGGCACAGCACTGAAGGAGTGGAACAGCGAAATTAAAGAATAAAAAGTCAAGAGTGAATGAATTTATACTCACGGCTCGGATGAAACGGCTGTCTGTGGCAGCTGGAAATATCTCCTTTTCCAGAGTCAAGTTCCTACAGGGGAGGTATTGACATAGTTTTTATGATACAAGGGCAGATTCAGTACAGTCCTAGAGTACCTTCATGGTTTTGTCAGCTATAATTATCTGGATAAACATATCCTAAAAGTTCCACAGCCTATGTTGGACAGGCATGACCAAATAGGTCCTATAAACATTTCCAGTAGAATGTAAAAAGAAAGTCAACGTGCAAAAGAAATGGTAGAACCACATACAGATTGTGCATTAGTGTGTAGAGTGTACTCACATTGCATTGCAGGCTGCAGTGAAGGCGTTCCACCAAGGATCATTCTCCGCTGTAGAAGTCACTGTTTGGTTCATATGTTTCTGCAGTGGACGGAAGCTAATTTAAGCTATTTGACAACAGGAGCAAGGCAACAGCACTTTTATAACTGTAGTGAACTGACCTGAGCAAATTCGTAAGTGACATCTTCTCCTGCTTCTTTACACCACTCTTTGATCTGTCTTTCAAACTCCTGGGAGGATAATAATAATAATAATAATCAGGTTAGTTTGGAGTTATCATTGAGCTAGAAGTCATTTCATACCGACATATCTGCCTGTATACTAGATGTCTGCATGTGTCGATGAGTAACACAGACAAACACAAACTCACTCATACAGACACACACGTGTACACACCTGTAGATTTACTTTCGGTGGTATTCTTAGGTCAAAACTGACGTCCATTTCAGCTGGGATGACGTTGTAGGCCACGCCTCCTTTGACCATGGTCATATTGACAGTGGTGACATCACCAAGCGTGAAACACTCACTGGTATTTAGCCTGAAAAACACACACACACACACACACACACACACACACACACACACACACACAGCAGTAAGCTCATCATTTCCAAGGTATCCTACTGAGATGGTTTAATGAACCATGTGTACATTAAAAATGCCACATTCCAAAAAGTCCTGATTTATGGACTGAGACAATGACCTGCCACCTGTGCAAAAAACCCATTAACAGTATATCGACACTGAAAAATGAAGTGGAACTCCACAAATAGCTTCCTGATTCTATGAAAGGTTTTGAACTGGTTAGTCGTTTACTGTACAGGGACGTCTCATCTTGTAATTATGCAAGTTAACATTTTATTTTACAGGGCTTATTATAGTTTTCATACGGCCGTCTGATTCTGTGGAGGCCTCAAACCTAAAACGCATCTATTTGCCTTAACTTTCAACTCGTTACTATTATTTCATTATTTAGTCCCAGTGTCAGTTAATGTCGGTATTATTTCAGCCTCGTAGTCCTGCCGATGACAATAACGATGTGTTATGAATATGCTTGTAATTAAAGAGAAAATGCCTTTCCATAAACACTGGATGTAAACAGATCAATCTCACCTGTGTTTCTCCTTCTCTCTGAAGTCCAGGAAGGAGTTTATGACTTGGCGCTAAGAAGAATAAGGCCGTATGGTCACTCACATGGTCTTTCTCAGTCCTTGTACTACAGGTTTTTTTAACAGTTTTATGAACTGGTTGCATTGTGTTGAAACTCACCATCTTCTCAGCAGCTGTGTTCTCCACAAACCTAGACCCATGACCCGGACTGCCTGAGCAGTGGACTGTAATCCCTGGACAGAAGACAGAAGTCATTCTGCTTGATTCAAGATTGACTTTATCATCCTTCTGAAATCTTGTAATCTGTTAAGATGGTGGATTGTTGAAGGTAATATTTTACACTCACACCAGGGGTTCCTCTCTCCATAAAACACAGTGAAGGCCTCGCCAGGGTTTGCCAGACCTATAGAACAAATAAAACACGGGGAACATTAGTCTAGTGTATCAAAACAACTGCTCTGTATCAAACACCACTCTGCAGGCTCGTCTTGGTATGGACACTTATCAAATTACTGATATTATGGACCTGGTTTCAACTTATGAAGCAACTGAGTGACCTTCAGTGTTCAGGTTCTTAATCATTAACTTTTGAAAGAAGATGTTGCAAAACAGTTATTTATTTACCTTCATCAAGCGCAAAGCCAATGTTCAATTTTTGGAACTCCGGATGCTTCACAAATGTTTCCATTCCCTTGTGACCTCCAACTTCTTCATCTAAAAAGAAAGACGATCACATTTTAGTTTCCATATTTGTATTGTCTATCTATAGTTTTGCAGACTTGAAACAAAAGGCTTTACATGGTAAATAGACAAAATAACACTACAAGTACCAACAGCCTCATCAGCAATATAAACACAGATTGAATATGTCTGTAGTGGATGAATCCAAATGGAAAAGGTAATTTACTGTCTTTCTACAAGTAGTAAAAAGGTCACACTTCAGACATCAACTTGCAGCCTCAGGTGTTACTTGCACCTCACTTTCAACAGGTTATTCCACCCACGCCACTTCTACATACAAGTACCAGCACCTTTGGGTTGTGTGCCTCTGCTAACCAAACATGTAGCAGTTGACATGCATGTCTGTTCAAAATGGAATCGCTTCAAGACATTTGAGTGAAATTGTTTGATTTGCATATGAATTCTTTGGTTATGGCCAAAAAAAAACATCTTCTGTGAGGTCATAGTGACCGTGGACCACAACATTCTAATCACTTCATCCTTGAGTCCAGGTGGTGGGTTGGGCCAAATTTGAAGGATTACGCTCAAGGTCACTCTCGAGATATCACGTTCATGAGAATGGAGGAAGTTATTCCTCGAGCATGTTTGATATCCGTGATGTACGTGATCACACTACCAGGTAACACGTTGTAGTTTCACTCTCAGCACAGTCTGACCACAACTTCGCCCGTCTTCACTGAAGAAGTCTAATGCGGCAATATGTATGTAATATATCGGGGTGGTTGGACCGAGGGTGCCTTGACATCAATCTACAGATAGAGGAGGGCAGCAATCGAAGATCTTACCAGGAACAAACATTAAGTGCACAGTGCGCATCAGTTTCCGTCCCTCTGCCTTCAGTCTTCTGACTGCCTGGATGTACCTGCCGAGAAGAAAAGAAGACACCGCAGAGTTACGACACAAATAAGAACTGGAGTCTGGACTGACAGTATGCAGGTGAAGGGGGCGGGTGTTAAAACAGGTGTTTCTCACTGAACATAATTAAATGAAGATCAAAACAACACTAGAGTACAAATCCTGTTCACATACACAAGTTATCAAGGCAGTTTATACCCACTGTATAGTTACACATTTCATGTCCTGTGATCCCCGGGCAAAAATGTTGCCCTCTGCATCTTTGAAAGCACTGAAAGCATCGTATTTCCAATGTTCCTGGAGAAGAGATTGATATCAAATCCATTTTTTTCCATGTCTATTACAGATAATAACAGGATTGTAACGCCGTAAACAGAGACAGACGCCATACCTGGAAAACAGGTACGACGTCTGTGTGGGAATTCAGTAAAATGGATTTTAAGGTCGGGTTGGTCCCTTCCCACGTCATGATGGTCACAACTCTGCCTGGCCAAACCTACATGGAGAGAGAATAACAGACAACTGTTTCCTTTCAGAAGAAGTATTACCTATTGTTGTACTGTCTTTACACCATGTACACAAATGAATTATATGATTATATTATACACTGACACACACCTCGATCTTTCTCATAGGTAGCTCAAGCTCCTCTGCTATTCTGTCCAGGAAACAAAGAGCAGCGTCTATAAATGAATAAACAGATAGCAGAACAATCTGTTTAAATATTAATACTTGTGTAAAACCTCTCAGAACACTAGACAGTCATAAGTCCTGCTGCTGCTAGCTGCGGCAATGCTGTTGGACTTTAGTGCAGTCACAGAAAACCCAAAAGCTTTCTCTTAATACCTAACCATTGTCAGCCACTTTCAGATTAATGTATGCAGTCCTCTAGCCGGCCACTCTCCTAACCCTCACTACTCTGGGATCCCAAATTTTCCCAGGTCAGAGGGATGATGCTGTACCTCCTGATGGTCACGGAAATTAAACTGAACCAACACAAATGCGTTCCATCATGAAGAGTGAGGCCAGGCCTCCTGCAGACAAAACAATCACAGCTGCCACTATGTGCAAAGCCATTCTTTTTGGTCAGGGCTACAGTTTGTGACGTGATAAAGCAGGTCTATGGGCTGCTATAGGAATACAGTTTGAGTACTGAAACGCTACATTCGGGGAGAAAAACACACAGCCCATATTCACACACTGTGGCCTTAAACGAGCGGTCAGGATTTCCGTACGGTTGTGGTGTCACAACTATACAATATATAGACAATTTTGCTGTCTAAAGAGGAAACATTGTAAATGTATGCAAGGTATATTTAGACAAACAGTATTAAAACAAACTCATTAAAGCATGTAATTGTGTTCTAGTGGAAACCCAAAATACAAGACTGAACCTAGAAATGAGCTTATTACATCTCCTTTAATATCTAACTGACGCAGATAAGAAATGGACTTTGACGCCGGTTTCTTTTAAATATGTCGATAAAATAACTATGACTCTGTAAAGTGATATATAATAATATTTAAAGTAACAACAGATGTTTTGACTACGATCCCAACAAATAGGGTTCATAAATGACAGAAATCCCCCCCAAAAAAGACCTTTGCAATGGCTCAGTGGGTACTTCTCAAGTCTCTTAATTGCATCCCCGTTTCCCTCACTTGCGTCCTTTCCTTGCGTCTTAGTCCCTCCCACCAGGGATGCATGGAGGAAACCATGCAAGGAGAGAGGAACGAGGAAATATCTTTTAAGAGACATGAGACGTCCTTTCCTCAGTTGCGTCACGTGAAGCGACGTCTGTTTCTGATGACGGTGGCTGATGATCACAGCTGGATCAGCTGTCAGTCGGCTTTAATAGGAGAGACTTTTGATAAGTTTGTGTGTGTTCACATGATCACTGTACTTAATAATAGTAACTAATAATACTAATAACTAATAAAGACACACAGTAATCACCACTGTAGAGGTGTTTCTCTCTGTAGCCTGTTAACAAACTGTGTCCTGTGTTCTGTTTATAAGCGCAGGATCCATTTCTACCGGCGGAATGCGATCGTCTTATTTATGAATTATTTGCGTCTGTACGTTTTGAAATTGTGACTGTGACGTCATTATTAAATAACCCAGAATATGATTATTGTTTCTCTTAAATGATAAAACTCAAACACTCAGGAATGATGTATAAAGTGTTGAGTCTCTTCAGCTCTCTCTAACTTTAATTGTTTCCATAATAAAAGTTAATAATAAAAACACAAATCTTTCTAACGGTGTTAGAAACACTCTGGTGTTAAACTCCAGTCAGTCAGTCCGATTGGCTGCAGCGTCCAATCACATAACTGATGAACAATGAGGGGGCGTGTCGGCCGTTAAAAGACTTCCTGGAAGTCTGTTCTCGTGGTTCCTCGCTCATGGCTCCTCCGAGGTCCCTCCTCGAGCCTCCGAGCTACATTAGAGCTTTGGGACGGCCGTCAATATGGCGGCGCAGAAACAACTTCCGGTTCAAGCGAGGATCGAGGAGCGAGGAAACGACATTTAAGAGACTTGAGAAGTACCCAGTATCAGTGTGTTGTGATGAAGCTATCTCACCATAATCAGGCTCTGGGTGCACAGTTTTGACACGGAGGTACTCTCTGAACAGACTCACAGAGAGATCCTCTCCCCCAGCAGAGATGTGTCCGCCTCCAGCACCTGGACCATCCTTGTCAGGCAGCATGGTGTGATTTATTGAACTCCTCTGAGGACACACAGATGTTACATAACAATAAATATAACAACCAACATGCAAGGATCGAGTGAGACATTATCACTGTGTCCGGTATCTGTCAGAGCAGCTAGCTCCAGTTATAGCTGCTGTCTCACTCACCGGGCCAGGAAGTGACATTAACGTTATAAAGCTGGGACGACCAATTAGTTGCTAAATCAGCTAGCTAGCCTCGTCGCTAGTTAACTTCCTCTTCTCTCTTTAGTTGTAGATGCTATGCCTGCGCCTTAACCGTTATGTTGGTTAACTGACCAGACCTCCTGGTAGTAAAGACGGATTACAGGACAGCAAATAACGTAGATCTATTTAATCGTATTAGCTGAAGTTATCACAATACTCACCCGCTGCTCTCCACTTTCACTTGTCGTCTGACTGCTGCCGACTCACTGGACCCGTTTTTGCCCTTCAAAATAAAAGACCTGTCCGCGGATAAAAACTCTAGTTTATAAACGTTTGAAACTGTTTTCAGGCGTTAACATAAAATATGTCCTAATAATTACAAAGATGTACATTAAGTACAATGTGTTGAGGTATTAACAAAATCTATTTATATTAATATATTATAAAGAAATGTATTACTTTAGTGTAATCAGCAAAATGTATCGGAAGTAAAACTGAAAGTAAAAATGTTAACTGTGAGCGTCATGCTACTATATGTTATATACCTGGATTTTAACTGCCATAAATATTATTCATGTCATTATTTAATATGCTTGTTTACATATTATTATTGTTTGTACAACTTGTTTTTATGAAATAATAATCCAACTTTAATAGCAACTATGTTGACGTCCTATATCGTGGCAATCTCCTAAAAGAAGAGATGTGATGCGGCAGAAGTTTCTGTACTCCGCTCAATGATTGAAGTTTAAAGTGATGACAAAGTGCTCGTTTCTGTCCCTGAACTCAGTACTTAGTTAAAGCACCTTTGGCAGTGTAGCTTCTGGTGATCCACCCCCACCTGCTTCTCCCACAATGCAGCCAAGATCGCCTCCAGTGGAGCCAACAAAATGCTCAAGATATTAAAGCAGACATGTTTCTTTGAGTGTATTTATGCATATATGTGAATTTGATAACATCTTGAAGGTCAAATAGTTTCCATGGAGACAAACAACTGGAAATAAAGGCAGCTATCCACTTGTATTGTTGGATATTTAAAACAATGAAAATGCAGCATTTTGTCAGCATCCACTTGAAATACACTGCAAGTGTACAAGTAGGCTATACATATATACGTAATCATATACTTTTACGTCTGTGGCCAATACACTATAGGTATGGGTATCATATTATATTTTTAGCATTGTTAACTTTAAGTTTTTTAGGACATATGCTAGATTTTCCAGTCTTGTGAGGTCTATTTTCCCTCACAGAGGGAATACCTTCACTTTATATGGCAAATAATAGCAAAAAAAACACTCATTAAGAGGTCCTTCACTCCATAATGATCCAGCTTAATACTGAATTTACTCAGAGGACAGCTTAATCGAGATTTTATTTTTCTTCCACAGGCAAAGAGTTTGTTTTCCTGATAGGTGATTGAAGGCTTTTACTGATTGTACATTTTGTTTATGTTGTTATTGTGATGTGTAGATGGTGTCACCATACCTTTAGGATCCAGTGGCCCATGATGAGGAGGTGTTCTGCTGGGCCTTCTCCCCTGACGACCATCAACCTGCTCCAATATCAAGAGACAGTCAAAGTAAGCTGATAACTGTCCACTCACCCATTGTGACCACTTTAAAGCAACAAACAGGCAAGTAAAACACACAAATTCCAGCTTTTTGACATTTTTTCTGTCAAGTAATCATAAAATTCTTGGCATTATGTGTTTCTTACTGCAGGTGTGTTTCATGGAGCGAGCCTTGCTGTGAAGAGTCTTTGAGGAGGAGCATGAAGAGGTCAACCCCCGTCAGTTCACCAACATGACACTACGCCTCCTGCTGGTCACCTTCTCCAACAACAAGTTCTTGAATGCCAATGTGGGCAGTGTGTTTGAAATGCAAATACTTATTTCAGTATCTATTTTCCCCCTGCTGTGTGCTCCTTCTCCTCCTTTCTAAATTTGTATTCATTCATTGCGCAAAAGGAGTAAAATATATGGTTACCTTGAGAGCTCAACGCACTGCAACTTTAGAAAACACATCCAAAAACACATTCCCACCCTTCACAACGTCTGGGCTCTGCAGCGTTTCTGTATTTGGTCGTATTTTCTCACTTTAAGGCAAAGGGGGACCAAGCTAACTCTTTCTAGAACTTTCCCAAAAGTTAGAAACGTTAGCAGTATAATAAACTTCAAATTATATAAATACATCAAAATAACCTATAGAGTCCTCAAAATATGGCATTTTATCAAATGACACATACAAAACACACAATTCTAGTTTTTATTTTATATGCACGTCTTATTTTAAGTTGGTTTTTTGCATGATTGTCCAAACTTATTGCAAATATATTACATATAACTTCATCATCAATATATAAATAAATGTGAGCTATTTCTTAAAAATCTTTTCAACTTTTTTTATTACAGTGTGTATCACTTCGGTTTCTTTTTGTCTAGCACATGTTTTCTTGGAAGCTGGAATGGTTTCCAGATCTTAATATACAAATATTTTTGTCCAATGTGAAGCTAATAGAAGCAATTCAAACAGTCACCTGCTACATTTGCAGCAACCTACATGTCACCTACAAAAATGGTAACGGTGAAGCAAAGACTTTCCATGTTTTTTTTTTTTACATGCAAAGAGAGACATGAAACACATGAAACAAAACTCACCACTATACAAATCTGAAGCTATTTTAACAACAAGCTGAGCTGAACTAGTATTTTTGGGTGACAGAAAAAGAATACTTGTATAATGGAAACATCTGAACTACTGTGTTGTTGAATGTCACTACAAGGTTTTACAGGCCATTTCCATGTATTCAACCCTACTCCCATGCCAACGTTCTTGTTTCAGGTGATGATAACATGAGAATAATGTAGCTCTTAGAACCTTTGAGCAAAATTGTCACCACACTAAACCGTTGATTAGGGGACTAGTGTTCCTCTGACTATATCCTCTTCTTTCTTTTGTTTCCATCTTTCTACGTCTTCTTCCTCCACCGCACATCTCACTTCAGTTTGCTGAGGAAGTCGATCAACCCTTGGTGAAATTCTCTGGGTTTGTCCATGTAGCAGGCATGGCGAGCCCCTTCTAGCTTCAGCACAAAGTGATGTGGAAGTTGTATGAGGTTCTTGTGGGACTGGGCACCCAGATTTGTGTCCAGGGCTCCAAACACAATTAGGGTGGGAATCTAAAAAGAGCACACAGGAGTGAGAAAACTATGATTGGCAACATGTGTTTACATATATATGCATGCGTGTTCAGGTAGTATTAGCAAAAATGTAATGAAACGTCTGTGTCTTAGTGCCCATTAATGCAGAGCGTTGTGCTTCATGGGTGTTTGAAGAGACATGTTACATACACAAGGCTCTCTGGTGGGTTAATCTGGTCATGCCTCAGTGTCATGTATTCCCCATTAAAAGGCACAGTTTACCCAAAACAGAAAAGAACCCCAATGTCATGAGAATCACCAGCGGAGTTTGTTTACTCACATAATACAGAACTAATGATTGCATTATGTATGTTGTTCCTGTTTGAATAGATGAATACACACAATCTTTACCGCTTTACCTCCCTCACCTGAATATTTTGATACTGCTGTGGAGTGTAGCTTCGTGTCCCGACTGGTGCTATGGGAATGAAGCCTTGAAGCTGAGCGCTGTTCTTCATGAGGAAGGGGATGGAGTAATGTCCACTCATGGAGGGGCTCAGCAGCACAGCTGCCCTGACGCCCAAAGACTCCATGAATCTTGACAGAAGGTCCACTCGATTCTGATCGGTCTTCAAAGCATCAGAGTCAGGCGATTTTCCATAACCTCCGAGTAGAAGAACACATGTACATCCATTCACACCAGTGTGCTTTTCAATGTGTACTCACTGGGACTTTTTTAAATAGTTTTTTTCCTTGTTATACATTTTTGTGTTACAGACTTTGTTAAAGCCCTGCACATGAACACAGGTGTTTTGAGTTATTCTGGCTGATTAGATTAATGTGGGGTGAAGCTGTGCAGGGAATCGCCTGAGATTACCCAACTCCATGTACTCATTTTGCTGCTTATAATCTCAGACTAAAGTTGAGCCTAAAGAATGCCACACGCACCAACAGCATAGCACACACACAGCAACCTAGAGAGTGAAAAGGTCTGCAAACAGAGTGCATACACCTCACACATTGAGAACGTCAGTTTTCATATATTGCCAAATTTAATAATATAAAATAGAATACATCATTTGATGTCTGTTTCTTCTTAACAATGGTAAACCAGCATCCAACGTGCCCTGTACAGACCTCATCCATGTAAGAAAAATATGAGGCAGGTTAAAACATTTCTGATTTTCAACCACAAGAGTGCACTATCAGCCCCCAAAAACAAGCAAGTTAAAAGAACACAACTTTTAAAAAATAAATGAAAATAAAATGATATTTTCCATACAAAACACCAAGAATGTGTCAATGTACTCATTTGTTAATGATCCATTTTCTAGTATATTACTATTCATTGTGATGAAAATGATTTTGATTAAACTCTGTGCAATCTCTGAGTTTATATTTCTTTGAATATATATTCAATTTAGAGTAATCCAACTCCCTAAATCTAGTTCATTAGTGTATCAGACCATACATAATACTGTAAACAGTATTATGTGTAATTCAGTTTAAAGTTATATCATCATTACAGTCACTAAAGTGATAATGTGCAATAAGAATAAGTTCTACCTGGAAGGTCCATCGCTAAGGCCTGATATCCATTAGTTGCCAGTAGTGCCATCGTACCGAGCTCCTCCCAGGTTTTGGATGTGAAGGCCTGGCCATGCAGAAGGACGACTTGCAGCCTGAATATAGAAATAATTTAAATTTTTAGGATTGTATCGCAGGACAGACAATCACCATATGTTAGAGGTGTAGATTAGCAGTTTGTATGCACTTCCTAAAACAAATGTATTATATAATCCTCACTCTCTGGTTATGATTACAAGGACAAGGCATGCCATGTGCTCAGATGTTTTAAATAGTTCTCTCCACTCGTCACCTTGGCAATATCTGTCGTCCAGCTCCATCAACAGGTAAAGCTTCTCTGAAGAACAGTGGAGGGTCCCCGGGTAGCTGTCCGGTGCGAATGGACACGTTGATGGTTGGAATTGGAGGAGGAGGGGTGGGCATCAGCCCCATTCTTTGAGCTTCTAGGGATGGCTCCATGCTGCCCTGACGAATGGATGGCAGCAGCAGGTACAGCAGTAACGTGGCCAACAACACCAGGCCCAGAACAACAAGACGATTACGCAGGAAATTCATTTGGTCAAGATAAACGATCTAGGAAAAGTGACAGAGAGTGCATTGTCTGAGAGCCCATCATGTGGATCCTGATCATACAGTATTTGTAATTGTTTGACAGTACACAGCAACTGTAATCCCCATCCATCAAGACCATTGTGGTTCAACCTATGGCTTTATATTCACAATCTTTGATTTCTACATTAGTTTTCATAGTTTGAAGAACCATCATTCAAACGAACACAAGCTGTGTGTGCAGTACACTAATGTTGCCACATCTGCAGATGCCAACAATTGACTTGATGAGTAAAAGGATTGCACAACACGTAGGAATGTCCAAAACTATAATAAATACACACAAAAAAAACATATTTCAACATGTTTCTGGAGGTGACTGTGAAGTGAAACAAAGTGAATCGAGAAAAAGACAGAAGTGTAATATGTTAAGGCAAAGCTAGCCTTCTAGGATGAAGGGCGGACATTCTGATGTATTGCAGAGCAAACAAATTAAACTGACGAATTCTGCTAAAATATGCAAATGAGCCAACATTCGCTCGATTTGTCGCTCTTCTACTAGCTAACGTTACATCTCTGCACAGTGAGACGCTGTAGGAGACATTAAGGATGCAGCACCAGAGGAAAACCTACCAAGACAGAGGAGATGATAGTTAGACACGTTCACTGGCGGGTGGACGAGGACGAGGCTGTCTGCTTTATCGTCATGTCTTCTGCATTGCTGGTTGCCAGTGATGGGAAATGTTGCAGAACGGCTTCGGGGGTCGATGCTGGTGGCAGGTGGTAGCTAACGTTAGCTTTGGTATCTGAGAGCAGAAATTCTTAGCTTGACGCTAAGCTATACATTGTTGTACTGACAAGAAACTACCTGTACGTTCCACGTTCCTTGGATTGTAAATGTCCAATCAATTATATAGTTAAAGCTCGACAGATAATGTTACACGAGAAAGTCGAGGGATGCATAGGAATTTTGATGAATAGGTCTCTTTCACATAAAAGGTTTAAGTCGTCTGTTCCTTGTCGGAGCACATTTCTAGCTGCACATAACAACACTACCCACTCTACGTCATTTCCTGCTGCGGCTATCAGAAAAATTTATCAACCTGCTTTTGCCATTAAACGAGTTTGACCCTCAGGCATCATGACATTCCTTGTTTTCCACTTGCTTTAATATTATTTACTTGCTTGCTTGATGTCAACTTTGAACAGCTTGTATCTGGTATTCTCTGTATTTTTAAAATATAACACATTGATCAGTGTAAGTCATAAGTATATTTGATCGTACATTTCCAGTTTTTGCAATATTTTTGCACAAAGAGTATCTAACCATGTATCGTTAAATGAATGAAATCCCAGTAGGCTATAGTCTCCAGAAAATAACAGAACTAGAAACAATATATTCAAATTCCTCTTTAATTAATGAAATATCTGATGTAAAAGGTGAATACAAAATGTTTTCAAATACAAAACCCTTACATTTTTTTCAGATTTGGTTTCAAAGAATAGCATCAATACATGTAGGACAAAATAAGGCTTGCCAGGTAATTTCCTAATTAACATCAAAGCTGCTTTTAAAACAGAGAGGTGGAGTTGTACAAAACTAAATTCTAAGATTACATAAATTATAGATTACAGATTCATAGTTTTTAATTTTTGATAATTTTACCCTTGAGGCAGCCACTGATTTCCCTGAGACTGAAAACTTGCTTGAGTATGACAATCCATCACATTATCACTGATAATAATTATTGATAATTACGCCTTTCAAACAAGTTTAAAGTCTCACGTTGATATTTATACTGTTGTGTAATAAATGAAAAGCAATTGCTGCCTAAAAGTTGAGGAAAACACTTTCAAATACCATGGTATGCCTTTGGAAATGATTGGCAGTATATGTCCTCTTTAACATACTGATTTACAGCTGAACATTGCAATGCACATGTAAATAATAGTCAAATATTACTAGGGGGAAGTGTGCATTATACATGGGTGACATCTTCCCTGTCTATACCATAAACCGGTGTTACTGTGTCAGACCAGGAGTCTTTTCCCACACAACAAAATATCCTATTTAAAAATAATGACAAATAACCCTTAGATTCATTTTGAAAGTTAAAAGTAAAGGGAGGAAAAACAACAATCAGAAGCACAAAATTCACAGTAAACTAAATCTCTAACAAGAAATAAAGCTAGATCCACCTCAACAAAAATGTAGTTCAAGTGCAGTACCTAAAATTGTTGCAGCATAATTAAAACATTCTATAGCAATCATATAAGTAAAATTCTCAATTTCCACTTCATGAAAAACATAACTCATTTTAGGTAGCTGAATACTTTTCTGAGCAGTGCCATAGAGAATAAATACAGAACCTACTGTATAAATATGAAACTCAAGAACATATATTTACTTGTCAATAAACCAATTTGAAGATGTACCTACAGTAGTTGCTATCAACACATTGTCGATCACAAACTACACACACAAACAAAATCAAAGCTGATAATTGTGTATAGAGGCAGATCTAAGCTGGTTTTCTGAGGCTAATATGGATATTTGAGAGTTTAAAGAAAGTCTGGTTGGGAAACTGATTAGTATCAGCCAAATTGTTTAAACGTGAACAGAAACAAACAGATCCCGTACCTATTTAAGAATTGTGGCCAAGTCATTAACAATTTATAATAGAAAAAACAAACATATTTTTGGCATTTATGTCAACAAATGTCTTGACAGATACGCCAATAACAGTATATATGAAAACAGCTTAAATGTACGTATTGTGTATTTGTACATGCTGCTAGTATCTGTGTGTTTTCATGAAAATCAACAGCAATTTGGTAAATGTGACAGTACCTGGATGCTGAAATGTAGTCTTTTTAACATAATGATAACTTGTTTTCACAGTGATATTCAAGTAAATTAGACGACACCATTTGCAAGTGAATAGTCCACTCAGGAGATAAAGCGGATTGTCCAGTAATCGAAAGTTTGTTTGATCCTCGGCTCCTCCAGTCCGCATGTGGAAGTGTCTTTGGGCAAGATACTGAACCCCACATTCTGTGCAGTCTGTAAGTTCTGTACCATCTGTGTATGTGTGTGTGCATGTGTGAATGATTATATTTGATCCCGAGGAGCAGTTTGGCACCTTGAATGGCAGCCTCTGCCATCAGTGTATGAATGTGTGTGAAGCACTTTGAGTGGTCGAAAGACTAGAAAGATGCCATGTAAATGCAAGTGCATTTATCTTTTCTTTTTTGTCTTTTTCAGGTCTGTCCACCCTTTCCTCTATACGTACATCTTCCTTTATGGATAAAATGATAAATGGTAGGCTTAAAGAGTTCATATTAGTATAAAGCACCAGCGCCAGCAAAGGGCTGAGATAAACACTGCTGTAAAAACCTCAATAGTCAAAACTTATAAACAAAGGCAACTATAAAAAAAGAGCACTTTGTAGTTGGTAGCCCAGTTAAGGCACAATTTTGAACTGAAACAGGCAGGTCCAGCCATGTTGTTTCTTTTAGCCAAAGATAACCAAAGATATTTAAGGCTCCATTTCTCATAATTTATCACCTTTTGGCATAATGCAGTATTTACATTTCATTCATAAGGCTAACACTTAACAGCTTGATCAATCAACAGATAGAAACAATAATGTTTGAGGACAGCAATATCCAAATGCAGAATACCTAAAGTTATGATACTAGTGAATACTGTATGCCACTGGGCATCAAAGGTACCTTTCTTCAACTTTTTTGTTTAAGCCTTATATTGTATTCTTGTGTCCATTTTAAAAATAAAAACATAAATAAAAAAATAAAAACTTAAAGGTTAAGCAGTATTTTTTCACGATGCATTTGATCCTCTGTGGGAAAAGGTCTACAATTACACTATAGTCCCATTCAATGTGGAATGATGATCTCCTCATCTGGAGGCCCAGGTCAGCATGAAGCATGGAGATCTGACATAATGTGATATAAATTAATCTCTGATGACAATGCATGAGCATTCAGCATCATCACTAGTGCACCGTAAATTATCACCTATGTGTTGAAAAATCTGATTTGTCCTTTTCAGGGCTGGCAGAAGCAGTGAATAGTTTGGGCTTTTCAGTTTCCTCAGTGTAGCAGTGTGAGGAGTCCTAGTGGGAGTAAAAGGCAAAGAGGCCAGGTCCCTAAGACAGAGGAGGCTCTATTCTGCCCTTTTTCTTTCTGAGCACAGGCCTCACCCCTGTACCCACTATAGCATTGGCACTGGAAGTGTGTGCGTACAAGCGCCAGCTCGGCTTGGCTAGGCACGCCTGTAACCTTCAGCTGGCCACCCTGACTGGTGATGCTGTGTGTTAAGGGACTGAGATGCAGGTACACCTCATTGTCTGGTACTTTGCGCAGGCAGCGGCCGTGGGATTTACATACCACCTGACTGCACTGTTCTGCTGCTGTGGACACATTGAGGAGGTACCGGCCCAGCTGTCCCTGAAGATACTTATTCAGGATGGAGCAGCTGGTCTGCAGGAACAAAAAGAAAAAGGATGTTAAACCCCAAACCAAAGGACACTAGGCTGTTCAGCATCAAATGAGCAGAGAGGGTGTGACACTTACATTGCTGCTTGCATAGGAGGTGTCCCCCCAGAAGATTACACCTGCGGCTCCAAGTGCAACACTCTCACCAATGGTGGAGACCAGATCTGTCTACAAAACATTTATACAAACAGTTCAGTGGTACACCATACAATGGGGAGGGGGGAGTATAATGTTAACCTGTATTTCATTTAACCTTCTCGTGGCAGTGACGTCGTTATAGTGTCAAGCTAGGCCTAAGGCCTACTTAATGTAGCTGCTACCCAGAAATATACACACTACACAGACATTTACATCTATTCATCAGCAACGGGAGGTCTCCTGGCGACTGCATCCGATGGTAAAATACAATCACTTCTAGATAACATAATGAATGTTAAGCCTCCTCTACTTGATGAATTGTTGCTCGAGCCAACTAACCTGAGTTAGGAGGGTCATCTGATTGATGTAAGTAGGGCGGGTATAAACAAACACAGGCCGTGCTAATCCATCTCCAACAGATGCCAGGCGCATCGCCTCTTTTACCCTGTTTCGGACAAACAGGCGTCCACCATTTGTAGAGGCCAGTACGGAACCCACGTATATAGATGGGAAGAAGGCTGTGCATTCCATCCACAACCAGTTAAGTTGATCATTGCGGGCCATCTCCACAACAGGACAGCGGCCAGTGTAGTTCTTCAGGCCGCTCCTGTAGTCATGGTTGTAACAGTCTGGAAACAGGTAGAAGCCCCACAGTTGATTGGGCCTCAAATTCTTGGCAAGTTTCAGAGTCTCCAGCATAAACTTGCGAGCTGATAGCTCAAATTCTTGCTGTGCAACTTTTCCAGCTTGTTCTGGGGTCCACTTAGGATTCTTTTTGGCCACCATTTCACGGGATTTATTTCGATAGATATCTTTAATATCCCAATTTCGGATCCACAATGGACGCCACTCCTCCCAATCAATTACAGCCAAACCTTTTGCCTCCGGCTCACGTATATATTTTTGCAAACCTTCAGGCATCTTTTCATAGTGCTGAGTGAGGCTGGCAAGCTGTGGAAGGCCTCCATTCACTGCAGTGCCTCCATGCTCATAATAGGGATACAACCCAAGGCGTTCCTTATAAAAAATTGTGAGGTTCTGCCTGACAAAGCCCTCATTGGGAGATGCCACAATGTCAAACTGGTCCAAAGATAAAATCACGCGATGTCGCGGGGCACACTCCTGTGTTGGGGCATTCCAGGCAAGAAGAACCGGCTTCTGGGAATACAATGGCCATCTTGTCTGCTTTATATCCGCTGAACACAGGACCGTGCACGATGTTAACAGAGTCAGAAGCAACCACGGCAGCTGGCCAGCTGTGGTGAAGAGAGAGGGAAATACAGCCTCCATGGTCACGGCTCACCTTCTCACCTCTTTCTCGAGAGAAGAAAAAACAAGCGCTTTTGTTTAATTCAGACAAAAAAAGGAATAAAACCAAAACAATTCCATATATAATATCTAAAGATGTGTCATCGTTATTACATCTGTGAAAAAATAAAATCTATAGGTCGACTCCCATGTAATATTAATGTCTTAGATAGTTTTAGGTGTAGTAAGAGCAACATGATTTCATAGGCAGGCTGACTTTTAGTGAGCATATCGAACAATGGGGCATAAATATTGTTAAAATAGAGTTACAGGTTCAACATTAACGTCACCTCTCTATTCTGTTCAGCGGCATGTACCGTTACCTGAAGGCAGGTGCCGCTTGAAAGTGGAAGTCCATTGTCGGACAACACACCAGTGCCGCGTCCTGATGCATATACAAATTGCATGCAAGTTGGTTTGATTCACGACCAGTGAAGCCGTAAATGTATTTTTTTTCTGACTTTATTGACAAAGTAGCGCAACACAGCGTCCTAAATAAAGGAATGTGTCTATTTTATCTCGTCCATTGTCTTGTCATGATACATGCAAGGCTTCTGAAATGACAATAAATTGGCTTCGTATTTGCTGATGTACCCTGAAACTGATATTATGGCCAATAGGATATACATAT